GGAATGAGAAGCAGATTTCATAATATCCTGTAGAAAGCATGGCTCTAGTGAGTCGTGTGTACCATCTGTGCAGCCCCACCACTCCACCAAACTCGGCTTCTGCTGCTACTGATTTGCCACAGATGCGGTCTTGTGGATGCATAGCCATGAGCACAGCTGTCCACAGTCTGTGTCCCTACAAGCAATACAATATTCACACATCTTTCTCCACACATCTCTTTTGCCCACACATATGATGACGTTTGCTTACACTAATAATACACTGTCTATATGCTTCCCATGGCTTAACCCAGGCACACACTTCTCTTTCCTCCTGACATCAGGGGACTTGAGAGATGGAGTTAATGTATTTGTTGACATAAGCCAGATCTCCCTTATGTGTCAGACAGTGGTGTCATGGCATGGTTCTGCCACTGGCATTTTTGCAAAGATTGTCTCCTTGCAGAACATAGGTTAATTCAAACAGGCTCCACCTTCGGCTAAGACTCCACCAGTTTGGAGGATTCTGAGACTGCAAAAGACAGCACATCAGCGTCTCTTCCCTGAGCATCCAGTGCTATAGATGCTGTTCAAGCAGATCGTCTAGTCCATCCACTGATTTTATGCAAAAGTTATTCTGTGCAGCAGTTTGCCTTTCTCTTTCTAATATACTTTTTATTATCTCACAGCAAAGACAAAGCATTATTTACAACAACTGTGTCCTGTGTGTCAGTATGCATATATATCTTCTAGTAAGATGATAAGGCAGTTAAGTCAGTGTTGCATATACTAAAAGAATCAGTCAGCTAAAGAGAAGATCACCATCTATTACCAGAAGAGAAAGAAAACTGAAGTGATGCACAGAAGTGTAACAGGAAGAAAACAGCTTTAAAGAAAAAGCATACAAAGGGAAATTCCTGTCAGTCAGCACTATTTGATGGTGAAATAGATACCCAGGCAGAGAAACATAAACCCATTGCTCAAAAAATTTTAAAAGAAACTTTATACATCCCTTCATTTTTAAAGTGTACTTAGAAGTATAGACAGCACAACACAAAGGTCTATTATAATATTTAAATACACAGTTTTGATCACATAGTGGCACACAAGTGAAGGGCTTGGTGGAAAGCAGATCATCATCAGCAAAGCCAGAAGCACCACTGCTCTGTGAGTCCAGTCCATGTCCTGCACCTCCTGATGTGTGCCCAGTCTGGCTCACATCCTGGAGAACCACCTTTACTATTGATAGCAACTGACATCAACCTCCTCCCCAGAGTCGCCTGACGTGGCCCACCATGGCACAAAGCAAGGCAGCCTGTGAAGGCCATGCAGCACAGCTGGGTTGTAGACACTGTGGCAGACCTCTCAGCAGTTCCTGCCAGCCCTGCAAACATCTAGTGCCCCTGTCCTGGGCACTTCTGTTTCCCAGGAAGGCAAGGTGCATGGTACACACTGAGGGCAGGCACAAGAGGTTACTGTTCCCTCCCTCCAGCTCCTCCAGATACCTGCCAAAACACTCTGGACATCTGGTGAGCCAACCAGTATCTCCTGACCCCTGTCCTCTCCACAGCCCATAACACCCAAGTCTACTGTCTATCTTTAACAACTGTATAGCTGCTCCTTGCATAGTTATATATGTGAGCATGTAAAGATGAAGCCTACTAGTATCAGGAGATACCAGCTGCTGAATTTTTGCTACATTGAGTAGTGTTGATCATTACAGATATTTGCAGCAGCACATAACTTGCAAGTTTCAGCTGCCTTTAGTTGCAACGCCATATTAGTAACATTTGCAGGCCAACTCAGTTCAATACTTTTCACATTACAGTCTATCTGCATTGAGCCAGAAGGGATTTCAGGAGAATTGAATGGGTTACTAAAATAAGAAATTGTGACCCTCTCATGAGGCACAGCTTACAGCTGTGCAAGACCAGGTTTCATCTTCTAAGGGACTAGAGGTAACATCCTCTCACAAGGGTATTTTTGTGTTGCCTCACTAATTTCGTTGTTTGCTGCATAGCATATGTCTCCCATAAAAGCTGGAAGGTTAAACTTCCTACCAGGTACAGATATCTATGCCTACTGTCTCAGCCAACAAATTGATCACACTTCTTCTCTGCTATACTTTAATTGCATATCTAATTGTATACATAATTTTATACATGCTTGAAAATTTCCTTCAGTCTTCTCAGGCTTTTCTTTAAACCACTCAAGGCTGTAAAGTACTGCTTACACTTTACATAAAAGTTGATTTCATGACAGTTCACTTTAATTTCTTCTTGGCTCAGAGTACTGATTAGGCCCCAAGCAAAGAACAGAAATATGTTTCTCAGCTGTAACATCATTGAGGAAACTTGTATTTGCTAAGGGAAAAATATAAAAATGTATAATCCAGATCTGATATTTTTTATGTATCAAAGCAATTGCCTTAAAGGTAGTTTCTGTTAACACAGCTGCCAAAGCTGTTTATTCTCTTAGCTCCTTCATGTGACTTTTCCCAAAATCCTAGGACAGACACCAGTTGATGGGTGCAGGTTAAGTAGAAAAACAGGCTGCACAACTCCTGTAACCTTAAGCACAAGAAGGAGTACTTGCAGAGGTCTGAGGTCCCTACAGCTTTTGCTTTAGCCTAAACTCTGGTTATGCTGCCATCCTACAGCCCCTCACCACACAGTAACAAAGGCCACGCAGTCCTAGATACCTCCTGCACAAGGGAGCATATTCCAGGAATACCAGAGCTGAATTTGAACTTCCCTTATCGAAAACAATGAAACCGAGAGCAAGCAGCTTCCCAGAAACCACAACTGTCTGAGATATCCCATGTAGAAATGGCCACTTTTCAGCAAGTACTACCATCAATCACTGCAAGCCAGCCTAGAGGAAAGGTAATTGTGATAACTGAGTATTTTTAGTGTCTATAGAGGAAGTGAGTAGTTTAGCTGTCTTGGTCTCCAGAGAATGGATCACTACTATGCCATTTTAACGTTAAGTCCTGCAGCACACATGTAGATTGTGCACAGAAATGGGGTGTTTTCTCCTTTTAACAAAGCTTGTCCATATTAACTTTTCATGACAGGATCTCTAAAAAGGCCACACAGTCCTTAAATTATTTTAACTTAATTTGGTGTTGTTATGCAATTAAGATTTTGCAAAATTGGCTTCTGGAGTGACAGCTTCTATTGTTACAGCATATGGCAATCAGAGAGCAGCTTGTGGCAGATGTGCTGTTTATTCACTGTTAGCTAGTTTTAGATCTAACAATGTCATTCTAATCAAAGCAAATGTTAGATGTATTTGACATTACAGAGTTTTGCAGCCCCCCCATCCTGTTTAAGCTGCTTCTGTCAAGTGGGAACACAGTAAGATTCATTCAGAGCTGCAAAGTCATATTTAAGAAGTAATGATGCAATTTACTGGAGGCCTGTATTGCAAAACTCCATGTTTCTAACATGTATTGTGTTCCTTCAGTAGACTACAAAGGCCACCTCTTACAACAAAAGCAACCTCATTAAGCATGCAGCTCCTTAGTCTTGCAAGCTGTTGCGATAAGCAGCTGTTGCAAGAGGGCGAAAGGTTGAACTATCAACTTGGACAGCACAGCTCTTCATTCAGCTGGCTCAAGAGAGAAAGTATTTGAGCAATAGCTCTATTACTGCAGAGTATACCTTTTGATTACAGCACATGGACAAAACACTGGTATTTCAGTCACATGCTTACCCACCCAGCAAGCAAGACACTCCCAGAATTTGTCAAAAATTTATTATGAAAGCTTCAGTAGCAGCAAATAATTCAATAAAAATTATTGCATTATTAAACCAGTTCTGCAGATTGACCCAAGAGGCCTGTTGAAATCTGTCCTCTTTGGAGTCATTATATATGTCTTAGAAAACAATCCCCAGTAGTCCATCACATAATGAAGATTTTCTTCTGTGTTTTATAGACAGCACCAACAGTTTGTAGTTACAATACTCTGTCCAGTCCTTCTGGAGAGTTTTGGCCCACTTCCCCCAGCCTTCTCTCTGCCTTCTGAAACAGCTCCACCTGACCAGGAAACTTGTAATACTTCTTTCAGTCCCATGGTAAATCAGCCTCTCCGTGGTTGCAGCCTACTGAGGCTCACTAGTGAGATGAGCTGTTCTCTTTCTCCTCTGTCAGAGCCCACTGCATGCCAGTCTAAGTGACTTTAATCCAGTCTCTTGACCAGGCTAATCCATGGAATGAGCAGCTTGTTGCACACTTTGGTGAACCCATATCACATTGAGAATGCAACAAAGATTTCAGCCTCCCCAAAGCACTGGGTCACCATCACTCAGGCAGGGTGATGGTTGGCACCCAGTCATTGAGATTTCGGCTCTCTTCACAAAACGAGTTCAGTTTCTCTAGAGCTGAGTCTTTCCAGCCATCTTCATTTGGGTTCTGCCAGAAAGAAAAAAAAAGTTGCACACCATGAGTGCTGCCCGCTAGCTGAAGTCATCACAATATTTACAGAAGCATTAGCTTAGGAAGCAACGTATTTTCAGATGGTTTCTGTCCTGACACAGACAAAACAGGAAGCAGAGATGTTACCCTTGTGGATCACTGAAGGAATCCACAGTTACTAGAAGTGTAACCTACTACTACTCCTCCTCAGCTGACTCGCTGTATATTGTGCATCAAGCCACCTTTCTTTGCCCAGAAGAGGATCTCATTATCGGCGGGGCTGCCCCTGAAAGGCTCTAAGCATCCCGTGCAGAGACTGGGAGCAGAAGCAGGACCCGGAGCACCACTCGCCTCATGCGGGACGCTCACCGTGATGAGGATGCAGTGGAGGTCCCGCGGCTCCCCAGAGTCCTCGCTGGGTCCTATGATGGCAGCCAACTTGTCCACGTCGTTCACCCGCACAATGTCAATGTCGTTCTCGCAGCAGAAGGCCTGGATCAGGGTGAAGTGGATCTGCAGGGCAATGTCGCCCTCGTCCTCCTCGTCCGTGGCCAGCACGCAGAAAGCTACGTTGTCGGGATCGCTGCAAGAAAGAAGCGCCACGCTGAGTCTCGCGGCCGGCGCAGGCT